TAAATTTATTTTAATGAACCCTAAATATCTGCTGATCTAAAAGCATCTTCATGAATAGGTCAAGGGAAAGAGGCAATAGAAAGTTCAGAATCAGAGAAATATTATTAGTATTTATCTAAAAGGGTTAATTTAAAATAGACATTTTATCTTTTGCTAAAAATTGATGTTTACTGCTTTTCTCTCTAGTTGATTAGAGTAGGTAATTTATATATCTTTACCAAAAATTGGAAAAGAGGTTTGACCTTTTCAAAGTGTTCAGTGTATTCATTTAAGCCTCAGCTTTTTTGGCTTGAATGCAGTGTGTGAATTTGTGTGACAGAGAGCCAGTAATTATTATGCATGGGCGACGCTAGGAGAAATGCAATATTTTGTACTAATTGCTAACAGAAAGATCTGTAATATTGGCTGCAGGATTTGCCCCTTACATGGACTCCGCTGTAACGATCTGAATTTAGTACTGCATTTGTTAATATTAGACACAAATTTATCCTGACACTTTTATAGGCAAAGCCTCGGAAACATTTAGTCATGTAAAATATAATCATTGTCTTGAAATATTTGCTTTTGCTCTCAAGCACTGTAGGCAAGATCTCACTTTATAACCTTATCTGTACTGCTGAATTAGGAAAATGGTTTGGAGAAGTTATTTGGGGTCCTGATTATGAGAAAGGTGTTAATTTCCAGTGTATCCTTATCAAAGAGCAGTTGTTTACATAATGTAAATATTCCACATCTCGTACACTCTTCAAATCTTCCTATCATTGTGAATTAAATTTGTTTTTCATTTGCATGCCATTTCCAATGTCTGTTGCCAGATACTTCAGACTTGAGGGCAAATAAAAGTAGCTTGTTGTATAAGTCAGATATTTTGTGTCAGAATAAAATAGCGCTCTATTATGTAAAGGGCACAATTCCCCATATGTTTATCTTATAACTGCATGAGCCAGAGTTGTATAGAAGCTTTGAAAAATATCCCACGGCTGACCAATTCAGACAGATGTTAGTACATTACTTGGAGCATATTATAAAAACTTACCTTTCACTTATGGAAATTTGCTTCAGCTTTGTTTCTCAAAAAGCAAATACAGAGACTTTCAGACATGAAATAATAATAGACCTTTGGACACAGAAACATAAAATGAAATGTACGAGCCCTTGAAAAAGCAATTAAATACATTTTCATTTCAACAACTGAGAATGAGGAACCAAAACAGATGGGCAGGGGGTAGAATAGATGAGAGAAAAATCAGTATTCATCATGGCTGTTGGCATTCTGGCTCAGCGATTTACTCTGCATGTACCACAGTAAATCAGATCTAGTTCTGCCATCCCATCACTAGGTTATTGTTGCATGAAGTAGAAACTGAGAAAGCTGTGGATATTTCTGGAGCCATCCAGTAAGGAGGCCCTAGCCATATTGTTATCAATAGGCTGACTCAAAATCTTCTTTTAAATCAGTTATTCATCTTACATCAATTAGAGAAGGGCTATGAAAGGGTCCCTGAAGAATACACCACCCTGGGAAGCATGATGAGATATGTCATATGGTCGATTGTCTTTCAAGATTTTGAAACTGAAAACTAAAAGAACAATTTACTCACACTCTGAGAACATTTTCTAAATATACAGATTCATTAAAATCAAGTAGAACTTGCTTAGGCTCAGTGATGAAGGAACACATATTTTCCGAAAGTCTTAATAACAGTAGGAATTGGTTCTTGTATTTGTTTTTAATTTATGAATTGCAAGTTGAAAGTCACAGACTTAAAACCACACTCAAAATCATTCCTGCAGACTTTGGGAAGTGCATTGGTTATCTTCTGTCATTCCAGAATTAAAAATAGAACCATATACAGGATAGCTTCATAACCCTGGAGGCTGAAAAACTGGGTGGGGTCAGTCACACAAGTCTTTGGTGGCCATGAGTTCCCCGATGGCCGCATTCACATGGTAGAGACTCAGCTGGTGGCCAGTTGGGCCAGTCCTTCTTTCTGCCATACTGCCTCTCTCTCAGAGATAATCTGGGGTTGTACTCAAGAAGCAAAGTTCAAAGGTATGAAAACAAAAACTGTGAAACCCTTGAGGCTGATGCATAGATGTCAAAAATGTCCCTCCATCACTTTGTGTTGATCAGAGAATGTGACAAAGCCAACCCATATTTGAGAATCAGGAAGGTAAAGTCATCTCTTACAGGGAGCAGTAACAAAGATATTGCCACTCTTTTTAATCCATCCCAGCAGTGAGCATTGCTTTAATCTGGTCAACAGCCTCAAGGTGTTGTGTCATCCCTGGTAGTGTTTTTCACTATTTTCTTCTCCCCATCCCTCCTCCCCAGTGTTTCTTTCTGAAAAATGATACCCTGTAGCAGGCATCACCACAGGCATCCTTATTCAGTTCAGTCCCTGGCTTGCCAGTTGTAAGACTGCTCTTCTTTCTTTCTCTAATTCATTGTTTTCAACTTCTTATTCCCCGCCTCGCACATCTGTGTTCCCCACTTCCTATCAAACATGTTGCTCTTCTGTCTCCTGTTTGACCAGTACCTTGTCCAACCTTCCTGCCATATCATGAACTTGAGTTCATGTTATCCTGAGCTATTGATCTTTGCCACTCTTAGTCCAAAATATTTTCTTACTCTTCTTTCACAAAAATTTTAATATATAAATATTTATTGGGTGTTGCTTGCATTTGAGACAGTTTCCTAGGAACTGGGACCAAGGTGTTTTAGATCTTTTTTGAACAAAGAGAAAACAATCTATAAAGATGTAGGCGATAAAATAAGGGAGCCAGTACAAGCAGGAGCATCAATATAGTATGACAAAGGAGAGGCAGGACTGATAGATGAAAGGCTCGGGCCATGGTGTCATCAGGGCCTTCTCTGAGGGAGTCACATGGAACTCTTGTCCTGAACACCTGGGCAGATGAAGAGGAAGAGCCCGTGAGCAGAGGAGACAGCAAGCAAAATGACCTCCTCCAAATGCTTCCTCTTTTTAGCCCTGAGCATCTGCATCTCTTCTTAACTGGTCCAGTGGTCCTAAACCCGGGCTGCAAGACAGAGTCAACTATGTGAACTCTTTTTAAATGCATGCTGATGCTGGACCTAACCTCAGACCCTTCAACGAGCATCTCAGAAGTAGGTAGGCGAAAGGACCTGGGGCCTATATTTCAGGAATCCTCACGTAATTCAGTGTGCAGCCAAAGTTGGGGATCGCTGAGCTCCACCCGATCTCTCCACACTTTCATGCAAACTGTCTTAGTTGTGATTTACAAGGTCTTGGATACAGCCCAGGACAGCACACGTCTAGTGACCTCCCAGGCTGTACCAACTGCCACCCTAGCAGGTGCTCAGAGCACGTGGCACAGAGTGGGTGTATCCTCTCATCAGGAAGACTGTGCAAAGCATATTGTCAGGCCAAGAATCAGAAGCTAGAGAGCTCAGTCACCTCATGAGGCAGAAACCTGAGCTGCGGCCCAGGCCTGTGTAATTTCTGAAAAGGCCAGGTATTCTGAGGCCCAGGGAGGTAAGAAACCAAACTGTGGATCTGAATGTTAGACACGGTTCATTTGGCACTTAATTGTATCCTGTGTGTGTTTTCTGTAGTCATTTCATGTAGATAGGGCTGCTGGAGCTTGCATTGCACAAAGGTGCTCAGTGGAGCCTCAGCGCTGTTTTACGTAGTTTCTATGAAGTACAGATTTTCTTCAGCTCTGGTGGGAAGAGTCAGAGTCACAGCTCTAGTTCCAGACCCGTGGTCCCACCTGCAGAGCCTCTGGTTCACGCAGCTTGTAAAGCATCAGCAGCCTGCAAAGCCCTGCAGGTAATTCTCCATGGCTGCAGGTGTCACCTGTGACGAGCTGATTTATTAAAAGCCCTGCTGGGGCAGTTTAATCCCTAGGAAAGGACATTGTAACTCACCTCTAACTGCTGTCCTATCAGAAAAAAAAATCTCCCTCTGTACTACTTGGCTTTGTTTACAAGCTTCTGTTAATGGTTTTCTCCCCATTAAACCACACAGGGGAGTGCTATTCAGGGAACTAATTGAATTCTTGCCAGTTTGGGTATGATGCAGCTCTGATCCAGATCTCAGGATTCGCCAGGTTATGTATTTTCTTCTCTTCCTAATGCCTGGGTAGTTTTGATGCCTCTATCTGCAGAATACAAGATAGAAATGATAACCATGTGCATGGATGTATGCATGTGATAAATATGGCAGTACGTGCTCTTTTGGCGTGAAGGTATAGCTCGTTACTCCACGACACACAACCAAAAGTTGCCAAGTGAAATACGTCTATTTTCCCATCATTCCAAGGAATCAATGTTAATCTTATAAACTGCACTATTCATGAGATTCATTTGACAATAAAAAGACTATGCTTTTCTCTCTCCTGGTTCCATTATCAGTTCCTCTCCACCACTGTCAATAGGAATAGTTCATCTTTCTGATTATTGAAAAGATCATATGTACCATATTTGTTTTAAATAGCATCTCAGCTATGTACGATCAAAATAAAACTTTTCTGAGCCTTAGCAATTATTTATCTATGATACTTGGATAAAGTTAATGTTTATCTATGATACCGTGGATACAAGGTAAGGGTTTGTAATTACACTGAATTATAACTACACTTTCAGATAAAAGCTAAAGAAAAAGAGTTGCCTAACAAGAAATGTTTTTACCTTGCTATTTGTGCTTCTCCTCTGTTTTGCTACTTTTATACTGGAGATTTTTCTCCCCAAAACCAGTTGAATCCTCCTCTTTGGTCCTTCTATTGGATCGTCCTCTATACTTCAGGTTCTGGGTGACAGGCGCGTATCTCTTCTTTGGTTGTTTTCATCTTTTCCCACCTGTCATCCATTCAGTGGCATTAATTATCTGAGATGAGCAGTGCCATCTTTCAGGGCATTATGCTTAGACCATAAACTATTTCATAACTGAAGTCTGTGAACATCTGGCTGCGCCGGTTGGCAGAAGTAAATATTCTTCGTCGTTTTGCTTTCGCAGTTTGTGGAGATGAATGCACAGGCCTTCTTCTCGGTGACCTGGCACGCCTGCAGCAGATGGCCATGGGCATCAACCTCACTGGCCCCCTGCCCGCTCCGTATAAAGTCCTGTATGGCCTGGAAAACACCACGCAGGAGCTGAAGGTGGGTCCATGCAGCAGCAGCACAAGCAGAGGCCTGAGCAATAGCAGCTTCCCGAGCTGTGCTGACCGTAATTGGCAACTGCTGTCTCCAGGGCCCCAAACGGAGGGAAACACTGTTGGAGACGCCCAGAGACTTTCTAAAGCAGTGTTTTTCAAACTCGAGTACTGGGATATACAGACTGCTGTTAAAGGAAAAGAGTCTCATGTATCCCCCACCACCGTGAGGCAGTTTTATTACATGACTTCAAAATGTACAAACATAAAATCAGGTGTGTACGCCTTATACTTACAGCTCCATAAAATCAAAACAAATTAATCCTTGCAAAAGCCTACAAAACTGTTAAATTCAAATTAAAAACATTAATCTAAAGTAATATGATTTCGCCAAAAGTAAATTGCTCCTTGCAACAGGAATATGATATTGATTCCTTCCACACAGTTTCTGCCCTCCTGCACAGATGTCACGGGGTGTGTCAGTTCTCTCTTCTATATCACACCAGACAACCCCTTGCAAGGGGTCCTCAAATGACCCTTGGCATCTCTTGACAAGGTGTGTGGCTCTGCGCTCTTGCCACATAACCAAGCCATACGCCTCTGAGGGCCCTGAGATCAGACGGCGACATCTGTCTTTCAGGTGTCTCCCCTGGGACCCACAAAAGCTTACGCTGACCTGTAAGGTTAGTGTCAAAGTAAAGGTCCAAGATTAGAATTTGTTCTAGAAAACTTGAAAGCATTTCTACACACAACCTTTTGAGAAGCACTCTTCTAAAGAATGAGTAAAGCTTTCAGTGGTCAATGGGGTAGGAAGAAATGTTAAGGAATTTGGAGTTGTTTTAAATGGATGAAAGGAGCGTAATTACACACTGTTGTTCAATTACCGAGTATCTGTGGGAAATTATACAGTGCTTTAGGGTTGCAGTTGGCTTTCTGGAGGTTCCCTATAATATTGTCACTACCCTCAGGAAGCTTAGGTTCTATGTGGTTAAAAAAATGATTAAACCACGGGTCATTTGAGAAATGCAAATTAAACACTGAGATTCCATTTCACTCCAGAAAGAATGGCTATTATCAAGAAAACAAATGTTGGAGGGGTTGTAGGGAAAAAGGAATTTTCTAACACTTTTGGGGGGAATGTAGACTGGTAAAGCCACTGTGGAAATCAGTGTGGATATTCCTTAATAAACTAGAATTAGAGGTCCCAATTGACCCCGTTATCCACATTCTAGGTATATTCTCAGCAGAACTAAAAATCATATCACAGAGATATATGTGCATCCATATTTATGGCAGTACAATTTGTAATAGCTAAATCTTCGAAACAGCCCAAATGCCCATCAACTACAGAAAAGATAAAAAAAGATGTGCTATTTTATATGGAATACAACTCAGCTATAAAGAAAGTTAAACTTGAGACTTTTATAGGTAAATGGATGCAAGAAGAGACATACTTCTAAGTCACATAAATCAGACTCACATGTGTAAACATTGTTTTGTCTCCCTAGTGTAAAAATCTAAAAGAGTAAATAAGATCCAGGAAATACTGCAAAAGGGAAAGGGAAAGAAAGTGCTCAAAAAGAAAGAACAAATGGGATAGGGGAAAGAAGAAAAGCAAAAAGAAAAAGGGGGAAAGGTTTTATATATATATATATATATATATATATATATATATATATATATGTATATATGGTAAATATACTACTAATCTCTGTTAGTTCATCAAAAATGATTTGTGCTTTCATTGTTTGCTTAATTATTTTTATGCCTATATCTTGTAATCTGAACAACTACTTTTAAGATAATATGCAATATGTTAACAATTGTTGATCTCCTATTATTTTATTTTGAAATTATGTATCATCATTTTTATGCTTTGTTTCATTTCAAAGTAAAAAAAACAGAATGGAAACTTAAGATAGAGATTGTTAGACCATAGAAAATACATAAAGTTATTCCTTGAGAAAAAAATCATTAAACAATAATTAAGCAATTAGTGAAAACACTTAATTACTATTTGCTTCATAAAGATTTGAAGTAAAGTCCAAAGCTTTAAGAAATTAGTAAGATTCAGAGTAACTACTGAGTTACTGAGTTACTGGTGAACCTGAAGGGAAGGTACCATTTAATAGGCAGAAAAGTACAGTATTGGGGAAGGTGGCCAAAGCTGTCTAAAGTCTATTCCCCTGGAATTATCTAAGAAACATACTCTTTGATCCTGACTATAGGCTTATTATTGTTACCCCTAATTTCCAGAAGAAGAAACTAATGAGTATAGCAAGAACGACTAATGATATTAATTGCAAAACTAAGCAATTAGCTAAAATCCTGCATGGATTCCATGCATAGCACATTCAGAAACTTCAAGAGGTAGGAAAGAAGTTGTCCATGGACCGAATATCTGCATCTCTTTCACGTTCAAATGCTAGAGCGTTTAATGTCTTCAGGCTGCTAGAAGAAAATACCATGGACTGGCTGCCTTAGCAGAAACAAATATATTTTTGCAGTTCTGAAGTCTGGGAGCTTCAAGGCAGAGGCTCCAGCTGGTCATTCCCCACAGGTGGTGTCTTCTTGCTGTGTCCCTGGGGAAGCAAACAGCTAGCTCTCTGGGGTGTCTTTATTTTTTTTTTTTATTTTAAAGAGATTAAGACAAAAGAGGACATAAAAAAGCAGATCAGAACAGAACAATGTAAGCAACACAGTATTTCACCACGACAACCCACAATTAACAGTAACTACCGTAAATGTCTCTTTCTCTGAAATAGTTGAGCATAATTTCATATACAATAGTATCAAACATAACAAAATAGTATAAAACCATTCAAGAGAATGAAAGTATTACAGGGCATTCAGAACCACATAACAGAGAACAAACAAGGGCTACTATATCATCTCATTTTCCATAGAAAATTTGTTTATACTACCACACATAATAAAATCCAATAAGACACAATATGAACAGGAATCAAATCCTATGGAAAATACTTCCCAGAATCAATAACTGGGATCATGTCTTATTAAAACGTTTCTGCATGTCAAAAGAAATCTCCAGCACAGTGAAAAGAAAACCCACAAACTGGGAAAAAATCTTAGTGAACTGTCCCTCAGACAAAGGACTTCTGTCTAAAACATATAAAGAATTTAAAAAAAAATCAAACCCCCAAAATTCAAAGACCCAATCCAAAAATGGGCATCTGAGATGAATACACAATTCTCAATGAAGAAATGTTCTTCGTTATTGATCATTAGGCGTGTCTTTCAGAAGGGAACAAAGTCCCACCAGACTCCAGGACCTGATGACTTGCTCACACCATCCCTACCCACAATGTGATGCCTTGCGGGAGAATCAGTGTCAGGTTAGGGCATGAAGCTGAGGCCCTCAGGATAGCAGCAGTGGCCTTATAAGAAAGGAAAGAGACTCCTCTCTTTCTCTCTGTCTGCCAGTGAAGGACAGGAAGAAGAAGGCCTTCTGCAGAGCTTCACCAGAATTCAAATTAATGAGCACCTGGATCTTAGCTTCCAGCTCCTGAATTATGCACCATGCCAAGCACCCAGTCTTGAGCATTTTTGTTGGAGCAGGCGGAGCTAAGGCAGAAGTACTACATTACCTATTTTTCAGGTAGCAACACTAAGACACAGAAGTTTTATATGAGGCTCAAGGTTACAAGGCCGCTGAGTGCAGAGACAGCATTTGAATAATGCAACTATCTTTGTGACTACCTTAGCTGGGAGGGCCCAGCCAGCCCCATGGAGAGCATTTCCTGATCCACAACTCATGCATGCTCTTGTCACTGAATCCTGCCTAGGTTGTGATTCCAAATCAAGGACATCCAAACCAAGGACTTCACCACCCGCTCTGTCTTGATATTGATCAAAATGACCTTAGCTATCCTTAAATTCCAATCTCTCTTAATTGTATGTTTACTTCCTTCTTCCATAATTCATCCATCATGTGAGCACTGAAGATCCCATTTTGGTAATTTCCAAAACTTAAGCAAATGACTTTGCTTCCTCTTTCAGTGCCTGTTACTGTGTCCATGGTCCCCTGATTCCAGCCGGAGATCACCAAGACCATACATAGTGTGGGCAAAGCTGGATTTATTAACTCGCTCTAGCCACGGACATGAAATGCCATGGGGAACTGTGGGGTGTCTCAGGAAGAGGTTCTGAGGAGAAAAGTACTGTGTGGGTTTATGCTAGTCAACGTGGGGACAGGTTCCCAAACTTGGGAGTTTGGTGCTCCACAGGGTACTACTATTAGGGAGTAGGAGTGATTTCTCAAGTGAGTATTCTAGTGAATCTTATAAAAAATGATGAACAGAGAGAGGCCAAGCTATGCTTAGCAAAGAGGCTGGGGTCACTCCTATTAGCCGGGTAGTTTTGTGATCTCTGTGAGATACGACAATGTCGATGCTCAGACCAGATTCCAGAGTGGTCTCGCAGTCACCACTGTCACCGAACCATCCTGTCTGACATCAGTAGTCCCATGGTGTGGCTTCTGTCCAGCAGAGTGTGGCTCAGCTGTGAGCCCTGACCAGCTCCTGCCAGCACTGGGGCCACCTCACAGTGCTTGGCTGGATCCCCAGACAGCTCTGCTTCCTCACTTCCTTTCCTCCTAAACTGCATCGCTGTTGGCTAGAATAAGAGTCTTAACCTCTGCCCATTGACGGTGGGGGATCAAAGTGTAAAAGTTTTAAATCTTGTAGCCACATTTTGCTCAACCACCACACGGAATAACATTTATCTCAGAGGGTTCGTGTAGCATTAAGTGGAAAAGCAAAGCAAAAGAAAAGAAAAAAATCAAGCCTAGCACATAGTAATTGTTCAATAAATTACCTCAATTGTGTACTATTTGCCCCAGTATTTGCAATAGCACTCAAAGTAGACGTGCTTCCTTGAAGTCATCTCTCCCTCTTTCCTGAAGGTGAAAATTCTAAGATTTTTGTGTAGATGGGCAAAATATGTTCCCATCAGCCCTACGGTTATTGCGACACCACGAAGCAAAATACTGATGGGACAAACTCTTTTTCAGCACCTGCTCTCACCTCAGCGGGCACCAGAGAGGCTCCTGCAGCTGGCGGAGGACAACCTGAGCACGCTAGTGACAGAAATGGATGAGCTTCTGACCAGGGTAAGTGGGCACAACCGTGGGCCTCCTCCCAGCAGGCAGAGCTGGAGAAGTTGGTTTCTGTGGAACCCAAGAGACGTGACTTCAAAGTTCTCAAACACTTTCTAACTTCCAATTCGGGCCACAGAGTGGATGCATTATGATTTCCTGCTTCTTTGCCTCTTAGGATCTGGTTGCACCCGCAGTCCCCCAGCCCACATACAAAGTTGGTGTACTTGGGAACGACCAAGGACAAAGATTAAAGTACCAGAATGATAATGCATCTTTGTAACTTTATACAGTAGTTGCTGAGCTGAAGTTTGTTATTTTATTTTTCTGTCAATTCTAAGTTTCAAAAGCACTGCCCTTGATTATGTAAAGGCAAAAAACAACAAATGAAAATACTTGTAGTCTCTTTGATTTCAGAGAACTGTAACAGTTGTACAGAACAGTCTAAAGCAGTATTCCTACACAAAAGAGGAAACCTTCTTTATTGTGAAAATACAAAGTATTTAAGATACCTTTTAGGAGTCAGAATGTAAAATGCATGATGCATTTATCAGACTTTTTAAAAAAAAATTGGTCGCTTTTAGGTTTCTTTTAAAGGGAAAGAAGAAAGAAAACAATATAAAGCCCGCCACCTTGTGGCCAGAAGATGAATAAATAAGGAAGCTGACTTGGAAAATGGCAACCAGTTATGATCTAAAGTTAATCTATGAAAGACAAACGATGCTAGAGCGAGAAGGCCCTTAAAGTGAATCATGTGCAGTTTGTATTATAAGGAAGCAATGCCTCAGGTTACCCGGTGAAGTAAAGTAACGGGGCCAGCCAGGTCTCTAAACCCAGGGTTCTAAGCGGGACCCAGCTAGGATGCCTACTGGCCCAGTACTCTTTTTACCTAGATTGCTGCTGCTGGAAGAAGAAAATTTCCACAGGAAAATCAAAAGCCTTCTAATAACATAATGCTTGAACAATGGCCCTGACAGGACAACAGCATACTAAACGTGGCCTTGGAATCCCAGGCCAGCAATATGCAGGAAGAATCGAAATCCCACTTTCTTGCCAAGTGCATGTGTATTTGGACATGCAATTAAATTGTTGAGTGTATGACTCTTGTACCAATTTGATATTTAATAATTTTGCATTTGTTACTTTTTCTAAATAAGTGATTTTAGATGAGTGGTGCAAAGTAAACATAATTCAGTTTAATCCAATTCAATTTGTACTCTTACCCTGTGCAAAGCCCAAATTAATCATTGCCATGTGAAAAATATTAATGAGACTCAATCTGTCTTCAAGGATCTTTCAGTCACAGGGATGTGCATGCATCTGTGTGTAAGCATTTAGGTAACAATAAGCAAATGCATGCAAATGTACGATAAAACATGGAATGAAAGAACAAACATATACATGAAAAATACATAAAATTGGAACAACTTAGTCTGGTTAAGCACAGGTAATTAGGAAAAAAATTCCTTGAGAGAGGTGGTCTTTCATTCAGTCTTTAGTAATGACTGGGGTCTCCCATGTTCCTGGTTTTAAGATAAATGTACAGAGCAATGGGTATAATCTCTTGTCTCCCTGAGCTTATTAAGACCAATGATCTGGGTTAAGAGCCTCTAGAACTGTCAGATCTCTGCTGTGTCCTTACCCACATGCTTTCTTCAATCCAGTAAACGCTGTCATTCTAAATTCATAAAAGGAATTATCTTCACAGAGCTTAATGTTCAAAGCATAGCTGGAGTCACCGCCATGCCAGAGTGGAGTACTGTTACTGCCAGTGGATCTGTAATAAACACTGTTATCATCCCAAGTCCCTGGTGTTTTGAAGGACCAACTGTTGATGTTGTCTCCATAAACATACAGCAATCTGAGTTCCCCTTCCTAATGTGCTACAAATCAGTTTCACTGACACAGAATAGTGATAGCTTACCTGCTTTTCACTTCTTCATCCATCCTTCATCTCTAATCCTGGCAACTTCTCATCTTTCCACTATCTGCCTACTTTGATCTTTCCAGAATCTCATGTAATTGAAATCTGTAGTCTGTAGCTTTTACAAATTGGCTTCTTTTCCTTGGTAATATGCACTTACAGTTCTCTGTATTTGTTCACTACTTAATAGCTCATTTCTTGTTGCTGCTGAATAATATTTCATTATCTGGTTGTATTATAATTCATCTGCTCACTACTGAAGGACATGTTTGTCTGTGAGTTTGGGCCATATTCATGAAGTAGCTGTGCTATGCTCAGATGTCTGTCTGGATATGTTTTTAACTTATCGGGGTAACTGCGGCATGATCACTGGGATTTTTTTTTATGAAAGTGTGTTTATTTTTGTAAGAAATTGCCAAAATGGTTTACATTGTGGACGCACCGTGTTGCATTCTCACCAGCAAAGAATGAGGAAGGACCAGTGTTTCATGGCGTTAGTATTATGGATTTGGGGGGGATTCTAATAGGCATTTGTGGTATCTCATTTTTGTTTTATTTTGCAATCCTCTTATGACATATAATATTGAGCATTATTTGATCTGCTGATTCACAATCTGAATGCCATCTTTTATAAATAATCTTTTCCCATGCTTCAGCTGGGCTGTTTTCTTATTGTTGGGTGTTAAGTTATTGCTATATTTTGCATGAGTTCTTTATCAAGTTTGTCTTCTGCAAATGTTTTCTCCTATTGTGTGGCTTGTCTTCTCATTCCCTTCAGATTATACTACTCAGAGCTGATACTTCTAATTTAAATTAAGTCCAGATTAATTTATTATCAATTATTCATTTTATGACTATGCTTTTGATGTTGTAATTCAAAATTCATCACTATTTAGAGTCTTTCCTACATTATCTTCTAGGAGCTTCAATACTTTACATTTTGCAGTTATGTTTATGATCTATTTGTAGTTAATGCCAATGTGATTTTTGGAAAAAAAACTTTCATTTTATAGTAATGTTAAATTTGGCAGTAAAGTTGCCAAAATAGTGCAGAGGGTCCCTACAAACCCACTTCTCAATTTCTTAAAGTTTTTTTTAACATCTTACACTACAGTGATGCATCTAATACATTATTATTGACTAAAGACTACTTTATTCCAAGGTCCTTGGTGTTTACCTGGTGTGATTGGACTGTTTCAGGGTCCATCCCGGTACCATGAGTCATTTAGTCATCCTGTCTTGCAGATTCTTAGTTATCTTGTCTCTATACTGTGACAGTGTCTCAGACTAATTTTTGATGACTTTGAGAGTTTTAACAAGTTTATGTGTTTTGTAGGCTGCCCACCATTGTAGTTTGTCTCACGTTTTTCACATGATTAGAATAGATACGTATTTTTATAAGCCTTGAATATACAGATTGATAATCATTGGTTTTTAAATGGCAGGTGAACAAGTGAACCCCCCAAAGAGAGATGATAGCGTGGTAAGAAATGTGGACAGAGGACACCACAGAACACCAAATGTAAAGAAGGGGCAGAGGAAGGGCTTAAGAATAAAAAGCCAGAGCAGTAAGAGAAAAATGGAGGGGAGGTTGGAAAGAGGGAACAAAGGGTCAAAAGTTCAAGTAAAATTAGTACCATTGTCCATTGTATTTCAGGGCTTAATGACCACCTTGTCGTTGGTTATCATAAAAAGTTTCAGAAGTGGGCTTGAATGAAAATGCATAAAACAGTGCACAGAATGAAAAGAGGACACAGACCTGTCTCTAAGAGACAGAGAGAGAGACAGAGAGAGGGAGAGAGAGAGAGAGAGAGAGAGAGAGAGAGAGAAAAAGAGAGAGAGAGAGAGAGAAACAAGAGAAAGAGAATTGGAAAAGGGAAAAGCTAACAATAGTAGGTATAGAGGTATTAAGTTGTCATTAAAAGCTCTAAATATTGCGTGCATATTGTAGGCCATGCTGAATGTGTTAAATATTCTTCACATATTGCAGGAATTTAAATTCTAGTCAAAGTGCACTGAAAGAGATATTTGATTGCATACTATCTTCTTAATATTTATGCATGAACTAAAACATATGTCAAACAGTTCTTTGGAGGAACATTCTTCTTATTATCTAGGGATGGTAGGGAAACAGATTTCTCCAGTTTTAAAAATGAACAAAAAATATTAAAGCACTTAAAAGATGGAAGACAGCTCCTTCACCATGCTGCAGGATGGAATTTGCTATGTATTTTAACAAAACGAAGAATGTCAGAAAGTAGCGGATGGCTAAAACCAGGATGAAAAGCATACCCCCAGACTGGCAGGGTCAGTCAGAGCGCTCCTCAGAGGAAGGAAGCCCTAACCACTGGGCTGGCCTAGGACTCACTGGCTCCTGATGACTGTGATGCCCTCAGGTCGTGATCTGCACTCTCCAATGTCACCTCTCTCCACCCTCATGCTGCAGGCCTGTGGGCCCATAGCTATTGAATTCAGAAGCCTGGGTTCCCTCCTTGGTTCCTCTTTCTTTCTCGTTGCCCTCCCACCTATCCAAACGTTTCAGTGAGGGTTCACAAGGGAATAAATTTAATACAGAACACATAATTTATAGGATTATTTTGTAATATTCACCCAAGGGGTCAAGTGCACAAGAGTGCAGGAAATCTTTCCACACACTAGAGACCCAAAAACTTCAGCTGAGGGCCTGGATCCCCCGGCAGTGTCCTGCATGAGTCCTGCTGAAGATGTAGAGCCCATGGCAATGTCCTCCACCAGTTCAGCTGGAGGCCTGGAGCCCACAACAATGTCTCATACAAGTCTGTTTTATGCATCTGCACTGGGAAGGCCCAAAGATCAGTGGTGGGAGCTAAAAGTGTATACCACAGGGGTGAAGGATTTGTGCCAGCAGGCTGAGTGGTCTGCACTGGAGCTAGGAAGTGACCCTCAAGGACCAGAGCTTCCCCTAAAAGGGACCACAGCTATCTTCAGGGACAGCAAGGTCTCAAGCTCCTCCGAGGGTGAAAACAGCTGTGTTCATATCAGGAAACCCATCATGACAAGCTTCTTCAGGAAAATCAACAGCGCCTCATCTTCCTCCTGGTTCTCTTCTTAC